CTCACCAGAAAGAGAGAGAGAGAGAGAGAGAGAGAGAGAGATAGAAAGAGAGAAATCATCCCCTGGGTAGATGGCCACACTGCAATCCCTTCTCCTCCATTCTCCTCTCAGGTTCTTGGACATGCACATACATGTGCCCGGTGTGAGTTTAAGCCATCGGGTCCAGGACTCGAACCACAGTCGACTACATGGGAGTCCAACGACATAGCCATTACGCCAACTGCTGGTCCCACACAAGACACTTTCTACAGCTGACACATGTTTGCGTACCTTACATGAACTATCTTTTTTTATTATTTATTTAAAGAATGATTTTATCTAACTTTATTTTTTATTACTATTTTAATTTGACCAGAGAGGGACAGAGCGAGAGTGAGAGAGAGAAAGTGAGAAAGCAAGCTGCCAGGTCCCGGACTCGAACCACACGGTCGGCCATGTGGGAGTCCAGCACCCTTAACCACCACGCCACTGCCGGCCCCTAAGTGAACTGTCTTATCTACTCCTCAGAACAGCCTTGTGGTAGATGTCATCCCCATTTGACAGAGAGCCAGAATAGTGAAGTCACAAGTCCAGACAGAGGTAACACTGAGGTTCTGGCCACAGACTTGTCTTTCCTAAGTGTTTTCTCTCCTTCCTAATGTTCTTCCTTCTGTTTTTCCTTCCTTTTAAAAATTAAGGTGACATTCACATAACATAAAACTAATCATTTTAAAGTGTAAAGTTGAGTGGTGTTTAGTACACTTAGAATTTCCCGCAGTCGCTACCTGTACCTACTTCCAAAACGTCCTCGCCTCCATCGGAAACCCCACATCCACCCAATAGTCGGTCCCAGCCCCTGGGAATCACCAATTTGCTTTTGTCTCTATGGATGTACCTATTTTTCAGATTTCATATGAATGGAATCAGACATGTGGCCTTTGTGCCTGGAGAGCTCCCCTAAATTTAACAAGTTTTCATGAGTACTTGGGTCCCCCTTCGACTGCAGGTACTCACAGAAGCTCCTGGTTGTCAGAAGAATCATTAGAAACCCTGACTTTGGCTTAGTTTATGCTATGGTCAGGAAAGGCATGACACCTTATTGCATAGAAAAGCACTGGAAAATGCATCAGGACTTTCCCAATGACCTAATATTCAGGGCCCACAGTTCTACAGTTCGGAATTCTCTGTTTCTCTACTTTGTGATTTCTTTCATCTGCCTTTCCTCTCTCTTGCTTATGACCAGCACTGTTGGGGTAAGCAGCTCTCTCTACAGGCTCTGATTTTTTTTTTTTTCTGGGTATGAGCTTTCACTCCCCAAATACCCTCTTCCACTTTGACCTTATCTTGGTGCTTGGAGGAACCCACTGAAAGTTCATAGTCACCTTCCAGCCCACGGCATCTAATGGGATTCTGTGACTTCGCCTGCTCTCACGGCCTGCTCATATTTCTCATTTGCAGTCAAAGCATCAGTAGTGTTAGAGGTCCATAGTTTGCCAGTATTTTCTTTTTCACTAACCCACAATAAGAACTGCAAGAAATACACTTAACATTGTGACATAGTAGAGAAGCGTGTGTGTGTGTGTGTATGTGCGCAATAAATAGGCAAATTTTGGGCATGCACATATGCACACCTGACCTGAGTTTCAAAACACTGGTATGGAACTCGAACTGCCATCAACCACATGGGAATCCAATGCTTTAACCACTACACCACCTGTTTGCCTGAAATTAGCAACTTTCAACATCACTTTCTACTGGAAGTCAAAAACCTTCTAGTTGGGGCTGGCAGGTGGCAGGGTGGTTATGGGTGCTGGACTCCCACATGGCTGACCATGGCTGAACCCACATGGTTCGAGTCCTGGACTCGGTGGCTTGCTTTCTCACTTTTCCTCTCTCTCTCTCTCTCCCTCTCTGGTCTAATTAAAATAAGTAAGTAAATAAAGTTAAATAAAATAATTCTTTTAAAAAAAATCCACAACCTTCCTGGTGGTTATGGTGAGAGGGCAGTTACGTGGCTAGAGCATTTGTAATAGACCTATTCTCGACCCCATCAGCACAAATCACAAACAAAAAGCTGAATTCTCAAGCGCCTGCCCCAAAACCAAAATTTAGCAAATACATAATAGTACGTAAAATACAGTATCACCAAAAAACAGTTTTTTGGAGTTCTGCATGAGCTCACGTTATCCACAGCAGGCTGGAGTGTTGCTGCTAAACTCAGGGCTTTGCCCGTCTGGGACTTTGTTTTTCTAAAAGCATCTTTTCCAAACTCACCCTGAACAAAGCTGGGGAGCAGAGCACATGCTATGTCTCGGTTGTCTTTCCATCTGGACGTGTGGGAGTAAAATAGAGCGCACCTTCTTTCACAGATAACAAGCAAACCAGCGAGAATTGTTTCTGCATAACAACGGCAACAAAAATGGCTACAAGCTTACTAAGTACTGTTGCTAGTAAGACATTAAAGCATTTCTCTCTCCAGTGCCTTTATAGGCTAAAAACCCACCACTCCTCTGCCCCACTTTGGGGGAGAGAAGTATGGAGACTATCTGACCAGATAAACGAATCAGATTTATGCATTTGGCCAAGTAGCTATGTACAAATACAGTAGGAGGGAATGTATTCTAAGTGAGCAATCTCCCTGCAGCTGATCAGAGATTTGTTTTAAAAATAGTGGGATCTGATAGGGTCCTAGTGAGCCCTGTTCTGGGGTAGGGGGGTCCATGTCCTCAACTCACTTGAAAGAAATGGGTTCTGGGTAACAAAGCCTCCCAGCCTCCGCGGCCGCCACCTGTGGGCTCTGCGCTCGGTCCAAGGCTGTCGGTATTACCTCTCTACCAAATGTGCCAAGGGACCCACTTCCCTCGCCTGTAAATGCGCAGGAAAAAAGGAGACGAAGAAAAATCCAACAAAGCAGACTCTCAGCAGGAGCTGGTCCCACTTCCTACTGAAAAACCCGGGACGTTTATGGTGGACCAACATGAGGCCCTTTCTTATTCTGTGGTGGTCTGGGGAGAAACAGGTCGCACAATGACAACAACAAACAGCGTGGGCCCAGGGGCTCCCCGGAAGAGCCCGCCGCTCCTGCCGCACGTCCGACTCCGTGCGCCGCAGGCGGCCAGCACCCTCCAGAACCCAGTCCCAACGCGCCGCGGCCGGGCCCGCACCGAGGGCGGCTGGGCTGGGCACGCCCCGCCGACGGGGGCTGGGGACGAGACAGCCCGAACGCCCGGTGGGTTTCAGGAGGAGCATTCGGCAGGGATGCGTCGGGGCAGCCCCCTCGGGAA